ATGAAACTGCATGCAAATATTTACCAGAAAGAGACAATATGTCGTTCCCTATTGTTAATTTTCAATTTTAAAACGATGTTTCTTTGGTCCCCTCTAATGGTGCTTTTATTTCTCTACTGGTTCGTAATGTCCGTGTCTGTAGTTACGTAACGATTTCAATAAACATACTCTATATATAACTAGTAAATTATCAAGTCAGGGATATTACTACCACAAATGTAATTAAACCTTTACTTGCCATAATCAATGCTATTGTTTTCAGTAGTGGAGCAGGATCTGATTATGTTCCCCGAGCACCTTCAATCATTTCTGTGGTTTTGTGTTTCTCGGTCTTTAGTTTTCTGTGTAATGTTTCGTAGACTTTAATTTTGTTTATCCTTTAGTTCTTGTTGTATTTTTCTCTTCAGCTTGATGTGTGTTTTTTTTTTCATTGTTATTCTTTGATTTTTAGCCTTTGTTTTTACAAAAGAGACAAAACGTTTCCTTACATTACAATTAATATAAAAATGATTTTTTTTTTAAATTGAACGTTCTGAGGAGTAAATTTCAGATTTTATTTTCAAATTACTATGCTAAGAACAATTGAAATTTGAACTATGGTGGAAAGTTGTCTCAATAACACATACCACATCTACTTATTTTTATATTTTATACAGATACACAAGAAAAAAATATATAACATTCTATAAAAACACGGTGTCTTGCATAGATTAAAAAAAAACCAGTAATTAATCGAATTTCATCAGCTCATCTAAATGAAGACACAAATCAAGGTAAGAAACACAAAACCTGTAAACTGAGAAAATGAACAAATTTTGATGAATTGCTTCATTTTTTCACAAAAAAAGTTTGTTGTGCAGATTTTTGTATGAAAAGCAGAGAAATTCATCCTCTTGGTTGCACCACTTAACTAATAATCCTCATCTTGCAAAACCTCTCGGTGGACAAAAAGAAGACTAATAGATCCGACAATTGGGAACTAGACATCATATGGTTGCAATGGCAAAATTGATGGTATAGGTATTCTATCTAGTCCTTCCTGTAGGTCGGTGAATGTGATGAACATTTTCAACTTTACTCCTCAACGTAGACGCAGCCAAGGTCATTGTCATTATACATCACCTTCTATCCATGATGTATCTATTAATGACCTGCTGCCATTTATACAAAAGCCATCAGGTATTCATCACATTCGCACGAAGCTTTATGTATTATCCCTTTCAAAACTTCATTCTCTGTACAACTCATGTTTGGAAACCACTGTTACAAACCCCCATTCAAACCAATACAAACTTGCAGCTATCATCTCGGATATTTCAAGTCACAGACTTTTCAAACCAATTCGCATTGCAAAAGATGAAAAGGAGAAAAGATCCTTTCGAAAACTTTCCTTCGCCAACAAAGGTCTCGATGCCATCAACTTGGGCACTATCCTTCATCATAAATCAGTTCACTTGAAAATACCTCCCTATTTTAAAGATCAGTCTCTACCTATCATTTTTATACCTATACCAAACCAATTGTAACTAAAATTTCAATTACAAACACGTGTTGCAGGATCTTAATATTGACGACTTCGAGTCTAAACCTCCTGATTGCACCTTTGTTCCCAATTTATATATGATCCGGCTATCCACGTTATTACTGGTGACCTAAACATTGTCAATAATACTTCTCTGCGAAATGTGTTATCCGAAGGCCCGAAATATCGTGAGCTGAAATCCATCAATTAGAAACACAACTTCAAAATACTGATGGATTCAGCCGAGGATTATACCTGGCAATGTGTTAAACGCGAGAAAGAAGACGAAGATAATCTTTCCGAATGGGTTAAGGCTGTGAGGTCATTGATACAAATCAGAATTAAAAAACTGAATGGGTCTATGAATATCCATGTTACATCAATCTTTAAAGACCCAAATGCTGCAAAACACCTGTTCTACCTCCATGACAAATATGTTGTTGTCCCTGCAGATAAAGCCCCAAACAACATCGTGTTAACCACATTATATTAACTGCTTGATAAATGAACTGGGTATTAACAATTCACTTGGAAACTCAACTTATACCCTCATGACACTTACCAAGGAGGAAATCCTATATAATCATAGGTCTGTTCTATGTTATTTTGGAATTTCAACCAAAGATGAAGAACTGGATATTCCCTCACTGTATTGGATACCCAAACTACATAAGTGTCCTTACAAACAACGTTATATTGCTGGGTCTTCCAAGTGCTCCACGAAACCTCTTTCTAAATTATTATCATCAATTTTAACAGCAATCAAAGCCGGGCTTCAAAGTTATTGTGAAACTACCTATTCTAAAGGTGGCGTGAATCAGATGTGGATACTAAAATATTCCAAAGATCTTTTAGAATACATACAATCTAAGGTACTTTCATCTTGCAACAGTATTAAAACATTTGACTTTTCTACACTTTACACAAGTATTCCCAATTCCAAACCAAAAGAAAAATTGAAAGAGTTGGTCCTGCTTTGTTTCATAAAAAAGAATGGCCAATGTAAATACAAATCTTATCATAGGGAGGGATAAATCGTACTTTGTAAAAAATAACTCTGATTCAAACAAAAAAGTTCTCTGAAACTGATATTAACAACATACTTGTTACGTTTGGGGGACGTGTTTTTCAACAAACAATCGGTATTCCCATGGGAACCAACTGTGCTCCTCTTTTTGCCGACTTGTTTCTTTATTCATATGATGCTGACTTCATACAGGAACTTTTTAAAAAGAAAAAAAAGTTAGCAGTATCCTTTAACTTTACTTTCCGCTATATAGATGATGTTGTATCACTACATAATTCAAAATTTGTCGACTACTAGTATGTTGAACGCATCTATGCATCTATGCATCTATGCAATTGAACTTGGGATAAAGGATACGACAGATACAGTTAAGTCTGTCTCATATCTTGAATTACATATAGAAATTGAAAACAAAATTTTACGACAAAAGAGATGATTCACTTTTCCAATTGTGAACTTTCCATTTTTGTGTAGCAATATTCAAGCAGTGCCTGCATACGAAGTATATATCTTCCAGTTGATACGATGTTCAAGAGCTTGTATTTCCTATCATTATTTCCTTGATAGAGGGTTGCTGCTGACAGGGAAGCTATTAAACCAAGAGTTCCAAGTGGTGAAGTTGAAATCATCACTTCGTAAATTTTACGGGCGCCATCAAGTTGGTTGACCGTTATGCAATATCCGTTTCACAGATGACAGCTGATATCCTCCAATTGTCTTAATTACCATCCCATCCCCTTTTTAACGAATGTGACCTACCGAATTAGACTTATAACCGGGTTTGTACTAACATGAGTAACGATACGGATGCAACATGTGGAGTAGGATCTGTTTACTCTTCCGGAGCACCTGAGATCACCCCTAGTTTTGGTGGGGTTCGTATTGATCAGTCTTTAGTTTTCTATGTTGTGTTTTGTGAACTGTTCTTTGTCTGTTGAACTTTTTCTTGTTTAGCCATATCATTGTCAGTTTACTTTCTACTTATGCGTTTGTATCTCCCTTTGGTATCTTTCGCCTCTCTTTTTCGTCTTTGTTTTATTTTTTTTAATTTCCATTCTTGCAAATAATTTGACAAAGTATACGGATTATGTAATACATTGATATTTTAATTTTAATTTTGATCTTATTGTAACAGGAACATGTGTGTGATAAATGTTTCCTCCTTATTTTCAGATCTGCAGTGAGTTGATTGAACAAAGTATATATAAAGGAAAAAATTGTCTGCTAGAACAGAGGGAGCTTCTCAGTAATCAGATTCTTCCTGCAAACGGTTTGAATAGAAAACAATGAATAATCTCAGTATCGTAGTTTTGGTGGCTTTGGTCCTTATCGGATCATTTGCTGTGCAAAGTGGTAAGTAAACGTTTGTCTTAGAAATATTGTTTATTATGATTTTCCATCCTTTAAAGTTTTTTTTATTAATTTCCAAACAGACTAAGCGTCTGCTGATATATATTCTATGTCGGATTTTAAAAATGTTTAGTAATTGCAAAAGTCTTTGATAGCAGTCTATATGAAAAAGTAGCGTCATATATTAGATTTGCTTACCCTACTCTCATATAGTCATGTCTTTTTAAGATATTATTTTTGAGTTTCAAATAAAGGACGAGACAACCAATTTATTTCAAGACTAATGTGATATTACTTGTAATTGATATGTTTTTTCAGATGCAGGTGGTGTAAGTTAAAAAATGCCTGTAGTGTTTTAAGTGATATAACAATAACAAACAGTATAATCAATTGAAGAGGTATTCTTTACACAAAATACAATATTGGCTAAATTGAACAATATAGAGATGGTACACAGAGATGAGAACCTTTGTTTACACGAAAGTATAGCCACTTCAAGTAATCACATAAATGAATTGTATCAGTTGGATCAATCTTCCATTGATTCAATAAGAAATGTCTGAATGTTTTTAAATATCTGAAAATATAAGTGTATTTCGAAGGAAGTTATTTTCTTGTTCAGGTCGTATTGTGACATTACGTTGTTCACATCAATTGTTCTTAGGTCTTATCTGATCAATGTCTCAATTGTTGCAAGCGTACCACTTGATAATATGTTATATGGATTCTAGAAAAATCAATGTCCACTGCCTTTTTAATATAATAGTTTGGTAATGGGGGCTGAATAAACCTGATAAATGTTTATATGTCTGTCCTAATTCATGATCTCCAGCGGTTGATAGCCTTATCTAAATATTGTTATTGGAGTCTGGTGTTACGGTACATTTTTTGACGTTCCTTTGAAATTTATTTCCTACTGTCTTTAGTGTGTGATAAGATTTTGTGAGGGTATTTGAAGTTTGTTAATCATGGTTTTCTTAAATAGATACAAGAAGATGTGGTATGAGTGCCAATGAGACAACTCTCTATCCTAGTTTGTAATTTTTAAAAGTAATCAGTTTTTCCCTACCTAATTTATCTCTAATATTTATTTTGATATGGACTGGTCATTGTTATTGAAACTTGCGGAATTCGTTTAGGTGAAGTTATTTACTAACTGCTACCGCCTCCATAATATTTCTTGTAATCTTTTCTGTGGTATTTTCTAGCTTTCTTAAGATATTTGTACTTTCCAGTGCGCTTATATTTGTAATAGTATTTCCTTCCTTTTCCGTAATACTTTCCCTTGTATCCATGCCCGTGATATCCGTGCCAATGACTTCCAGATGGATAGTACGCATTGCCTGGGTAAAAGGCGCCACTGTAATCCTGTCGAAAATAAATCCTGCTATTACACTGTACCGAATGAATATTTCAATATAACGCAGATTTGAATGGTAATTCAATTCTAAAGAAAATTTTTATAAATTGATTTAACGATATAAAGGGAAATATTTCTTTTTGTTGCGTCTGACGTCACAAATGGTGTATAAGCAGACTAAGCAATGACAGGTTTGCTTTGGTAATAACAAGCCTTCTTTGATAAGGCATTATTTATATTGTTTGATTTGATTTCTCAATTTGTCGCCTGTAATAACCATACATTTTTTAATGTACGTCCTTCTCTTTGACTGCTGTTATTCCACTCATCAATAGAGAGAAAAAAGTTATATACTTTAACACTGTATAATCCTGCTAGAAATTAATGTGCCTACCCCCAAGCAAGGAACCTCGTCATTGGTTCATATCTATTTTCTTTTCTTTCATTAAGGACGTATGCGGTTCAATAAGAGTCTTTTTTATTTCTGTTTGTTTGCTAATTGTGTTGTTATGGTGCCGTTTACATATAACTGACTTCATCATCGAATATCATGCACTACGTGAGTAAATTTAATAGCAAGTATTCGGTGGTTCATGGTGCATATACCCCGTAAACAAAAGCGGTGATTTGAATGTTAATTATTGTTTAAATAACACTCAAGTATATTACATCTTTCGCTTGACGGCTCAGGAGATATAAAAACTTACTGAGAATATGAGCCAATATCCCCTGTGAAGATCCCGAATTACATATAATGTCTAAAATAAACCCGTTGTCTACACATTCTTTTACACAATTATATATGCATACAGTACGCGATATCCGGTAGAATGCAATATCTATTGTTCTATTCAGATTGATTTATTTATATGCTTGTTAATATATTGAAATGTCAATTTGTCCAGACATTTTTTACACAATCATATCCATGTGATATTATTGCATTCTAGTTTCATATTTTGAATATATATTATTGTCATACCTTTTAATTTGCGAATAATGCAAGTAGGTGAGTATCGCAATAATAAGAACTCGCATTCCGAAATCTGACACATATATTTGTATGCAGTTTTTCTTGTTTTTGCAATAATTATTCTCACATATTGGTCTGTCATGTCGAAATAGCATTAATAAATGCACGCAATAATTTCTGAATTTACAGTATATGATTAAAATACTGAAAACATATCCATTCAAATGGATACTTTAACATTATTTCTAAGACAGACATATCCATTCAAATGGATACTTTAACATTATTTCTAAGAAAGAATAAACTGATAAAAAAGGCTGTGACGAATGCGATAAAGGGTAAATTTGTAAACTATATTAGAGAAATCAATTTATTATGACCAAATTAGCGGATGAGCGCGGCTCTCTGGAAGGGTAAACTGACTCCGTTCTATCCGTATCTTAACATATATTCAGAATAAATTAATGATTAAAATTAGTGATAGGACGTCAAAACAAAAGCCGACTGGTAGATGGTTGTCTTAGCTATTATATGTCCAACACTAAAGGGTCGTCCTGTCAATATAATGGAATTTGATGAGACTGTCATACAAGTGAGAGGGTAGCTAGCTGTAAAACCAGGTTCAATCCACCATTTTGTACATAAGAAAATGCCTGTACCAAGTCAGGAATATGACAGTTGTTATCCATTTGTTTCATGTGTTTGAGCTTTTGATTTTGCCATTTGATTAGGGACTTTCCTTTTTGAGTTTTCCTCGGAGTTCAGTATTTTTGTGATTTTACCTGTTAGTTGGAAAGGATTTATAGATCCACAGCATCGTACGCACGTTTTAATTCAGCTTAATAGAAAAAAAAAACTAACCAGTTCATGGTTTATTGATCTGTAAGTTTTTTTCATATTTGGATTTAAAGTTTTCAAAAGTTTTTACACACATTTAAAAAAACATATATAAATGAAAAACGAATCTGGAGGTTAAAAATTATCTGTTTTTATCCGGAAATTAGTTAACTATATGCAATATTTGATTCGGGCCATTCGTAATTGGATTTTTGTTTAACCATTATATATCTCTCAGATACTTAGAATACTTCCTATCTAATATAAATTGCCAAGATACATTTTGGAAAGTAACCGGAATCATGCATCGTAATTTACTTGCTACGAGCAAAACAACAGGATCCGGTGGTTGAATAGCAACTGCCAAATTTTCTCAAGCGCCTGTCTTCATCATGGTTTTTGTACTTTTTTGTATGAGCATAATATTCAGAAACTTATGTTTCAACACACTCAGGCAAAGATGACCTTAGACGATGCGAACTAGACGTATCACCTATTTTAAAGAGTGATGCATGCATACCTTTACTGGAATAGTGCATATGTCTATTTAAACGAACAACCCCTTTGAAACAATATCTTTGATTACAAGAAACATAAGATGCAGGCTCATTTAAACGTACAAGCTGCATTTTAATAATAGACAAAAACAAACGCAATTTATTTTAGCAAAAACCTTTTACGTGTCAGGAAATGTATCTCTGTCGGTTGTAATGTGTGCGCCTGTGTTTGAAGTACCTGTTTGATGATTTTTTTTTTAAAATCCACATTTAAACAAAGTCTTTTTAGTATGACTTCAATCATGCTATTGATATTTCTTTATCTAATACGATTTAATTATTAAGCTTTAGATTATTTCATAAATGGAGAATATAGTAAGCAAAACTACAGTTAACTTAAAATATTTTGTGACATACAGGTCTTTCGTTTATTTACATAAATTTTCTAGTTCATAAGCGGCGTTGCTGCCTTTACTTTATATACGATAACATGCCTTTCGTGATTTTTTCATTGCTTGATTTGAATAGTATGTTGTTTCTATAATGATTATCCAATAGTTTGGCTAAATTTTTTTCTTTGATAAAATTTTGTCCGGAATCGTTGGAAATATAGTGAATTATTTCAAAAGTCAAAACTACGTACTTTCGTGTGCTGCTGCCATTTTCTGCAAACATGTTTTTGTGAGCACAATCTTGACTGTATGAATTATTCTATTATATAATAAAATAATCATAAAATATACTTACATCATATCCTGAGCCTACATCTACAATATACATTAAGCATTTCAAAAATCATTCGGCAATTTCCATACATGTATACGAGTTAATAATTTAATCAGTATCTTAACTTTGTAAGAAGACTGTGTATACATTTACTGATACAAAAGTCAATTGTAAACAATCTGTATGGTCTGATAAGGAGAAAGTGACATAACTATTCATCCATTTTCAAAGATTAATACAACGGAATATAAATTCCTATATTTTCATTGTTATCATTTCTATTTTTCAATTCGGCTTTTGATGGAAAAGAATTTGAACAACAAGTGTTTTCCATCAGTTACTGCAGTGCAATAGCCTTTCAAAGTTGATGTAAAAGAATCAGCAACAGCAACTTTATGAATTACATTTTTTTTAAATAAAATCTGATTTAAATACATCCGTTATAAGTTCTCTTCTAATGATAATGACTCGAAGGTGTGTATCATTAAATAAAAGTATAACCCGAAAAGGTCCTCGAAACAGTATGAAAACAAAGCCGTGTCAAAACCTTGTACACATGTCATGTATTTCTATCAGGAAGCTTTAAAAGACAGTTATATTAACAATATCTATTTGCTCATGATTAATACGATTGAGATATACCAGCATTTTTTGACATTATAGACGTAAAAACAAACAGACACACATGGGAGTAGAAATAATCTTATCCTGCAATTAGCACTTTTCCAGTGATTCAGTGCGTTGATAGGGTGTTATCCTTTGCTGGTAAAATCATCAAAGAAATCAGGCTTATAAATTGCAATGCCTGATGGGCAATTTGTCTCTTAAGACTCATCAGTGGCACACAAATCAATACAATTTTATCTTCCCAATTGTGAACTTTCCATTTCTATGTATCAAAATGTCAGCAGCGATTGCAGATGGAGTATATATCTCCAAGTTGAAACGATATTCCAGAGCTGGTATTTCCTATCATGAATTTCTTTATAGATGTTGCTGCTTACGAAAGAGCTATTAAACCACAGGTTCCAAGTGGTAACGTTCAAATCATTCTTTCGAACATTTAAGGATTCCATCACGATTTGGTTGGCCATTATAGAAAATCTGTTTCAAAGATAACATTGGATATGTTCCGATTAAGGTACTACAATTCCGTCCTCTTTTCCTCGAATGTGATCTACCGAATAAGACTTACTTACATGACCAACATGACGTGTGTCACATTTGGAACAGGATCGGTATGCACTTCCGGATCACCTGATATCAACCTTAGGTTTTTACGGGGTTTTTTATGCGCAGTCTTCAGTTTTTTATGTTGTGTTTTGTGGACTTTTGATGGTTTTTTGGTGGTCTTTCGTTTTTAACGATGGGGTAGACAGTTTGTTTTCAATTTATAAGTTTTACTACTTTCAATATCTCTTTGGTATCTTCCGCCTTTCTTTGAAGGCAAAATCAAATACAAAATTAAAGTTCATACAAATGTATCACTCATTATATGATTCACTACATATTTGATATGCATACAAATGTATCATTCATTATATGATTCACTACATATTTGATATGCAAAAAATATAGACGATTTGTACCTTATATTATTTCATTATTAAGTGTGTGTTATTAATTTCTTTATAATTATGTTGGTTTAAAATTGGTTAATTATTATGAATTTTAGTCATCATTACTGTCTTTTCAATATAAAAACTAACATTTGCACCGACATCTGCCTTTCATACATCCAAAGAAGTTTGTTTCTCGATAAAAAAAAATTAAAATAATGGAAAATTTCCGCTTAAATATTTTATTTTTATTCTTGTTGTTGGAAATTGGGAAATATCGAGTCACAAACACATTACACACAAAATATAATTCAAAGGTCAAAATGAGTATTGGATTTGATTTAAAAAAAAAATGATAATTTCCATTTGCTTTTAATCCGATAAGAAAAAAAATTTTCATCTTAATGTAGGCAAAAAATAACTTATATGTAAGTAATATATAAATCAAAGTATAAAGAATTGTAGATGATTTGAAATAACAGTCGCGTCTAGTCTAACGATTTAGAAACTGAACACGGAATTATGGCGTGACCAAATAGTTTTTTGCCTCCACCTCCATAGTTGGTTTGCATGTATTTGTCCCCTATAGTGACATGTAAAATGAGACAAATCACTGTCACAGTTCAGAATATTTTAGTCAGATGAAGCGATATAATACTCTTATGATATAAAAGATGAAAAGTTATAGTCGATTTTTTATGTGTTGTACAAAATCTAAGGTTTTATTCGCCAAATCAAAATTGATGACAACGGTTTTTACTGTTGTATTTCTTAACCCTGTTTGTTTCGATCATCTAACATCTCACTTTTCTTTTATATTTAACAAAATATTTGGTCCAGGAATATTTGATTAAGTCAATTCGAAAACTATCTGGTCTGCTCATTAAAATAAACCTCGTGCGTTAATACCTAACATATGACATATTACGGTCACCATCATATTTCATTGTTTCATAGTAAGTGTGTCACAAATGATAGTTCACATATTTCTCTCAATGTCTAAAGTTGTGTTACGGATGTGACCGTTATCGAATGTAACGTTTTATCGGTTTTTTAAAGAACAACAATTATTCCGACCTCAAATTTACCGAAAAAGAACTTTCACTTTTTTTCTTATCAAGGAAATATGTGTAAGATAAATATTCAGAGAGTCATTAGGTATTCCAAGGGGTAGTAACTGTCCCTTTGCACTGGTCGTTCGGAATATGGCTGAAATATTTCAACTGGACGTTGAAAACCTGAAATATGTTCTAATGAACAAATATATTAACAAGATTGCATTTACATTTTTTGATAATAGCATTGCTGTTGCTGATTAAGAAAACAAAAATCTAAATTGGTTATCATCGAAGATAGTTTTTCATTTATGTCCATTATACATCATATGATAAAACAGTGTTATGGAAATATAGAATTACCGATACAAGCTGCTAAAGTTAAAAGAAAGAGCACCAAGACTACACAACTAAGCTTCATGTTGGCTAAAACTATGAGCTTTAATTGAATTGTTCTGTTGTTATATTGCATTATGAAACAGATGGTAATTGCACGCAAAAATTAACAACAGGATTATAATGTAAAACATGCACAATGCATGAAAGTGCTCGTTTGACTTTTCATCGTAAGACGATGTTTTACAACATAAATATAGAGACGTAGGTTTACAACATGATTATATTGTTACTTTTATTTAAAGAAAAAACATCTTAAGTTGTTTCCGTTGTTTGATTGTATTTCTACAAGGTGATCGTTCACAACTCACGCTAGAATGGTTTCATTTCACAGCCAATAATGCAATGTTAAATATGTTATGAACTTGAATTAAACTACTTCATTAATAGATATGCAATGTTAAAGTATTAATCCCAGTTTCAAGCAAGAAGAATTATATTTGCAACTGTATTGCTCTCGTATACTTATAATTACTTTCTCTACTATTACAGTCAATTCCATTTTCTCGTCGTTATACAAAGGCTTGATACATTTTAGAAAGGAAAACACTTCACCACTAAAAAATTTGATATCAAAACTTTTCATATTTCGAGGAACAGATATGAATAGAACTCGGAAGACAAAACATCATATTGGTGGAATACAACATATCACTTTAAATATTTCCGTTTAAAAGAGAGGCACATATAGCTTACATTGTAATCTACAGAGCTGGTAGAATAATTTTGAATGCTAGTATAAAGTTACTGTCCAGTAGAATCACTGAGACAAGTGTGTACACCAGGATATATCCAACCCGAATGTTATAAAAAAAAAACACCAATATTTTATCGGTATTCAAAGGCATACTGGTAAGTTACCGAGCTGAAAGAATCTTGAGGGATTATTTTGTCCACTGGTAGAGATTTTAAACCAGTAGTGAAAATATTCTTCTGACACACGAAGAGTTAACAGTGGTACGTAAAGCATTATTTATCTCTCTGACTTTTAATCCTTTTATAACCAACGGAAATTTTGTCCCTTGTAAGTTATTTTTGGCGTAAAATTTATGGGAATCAGTTATTATAAAGTATGAATCTATAAAACTATTGATATGTATTTCAACTCAATTTAATGTCACTTTAAATAAATCAACATCATATACTGAAACGGAGCTTATTTTAAATTTTAAATTTCATAAGTCTGTTCTAACTTCGGTATGTTGTATTTACACAACACGTCTGTGATTGCCTAAAATGTCAGGATGCAGTAACTGTAACTGTAACTGTATCCTAATTCAGTACTAATGCAACATCACATTTTGTGTATAATTATGTATATGTTGCAGTCTGCATATGATAAAGCAAGATATGAGTTAAATGTACATGAAACTACAAACCAAAAACACAAAAAGATATTTCTCTTGATATATATTTGAATTTAGAAACTCTCACTTTTGAAAGAAGAAGATATTAATTTGTTTTGCCACTTAAACTTTTTTTCATGAACATCTTTCTAACACCGCTACCGCCTCGGTGGTCTCGTGGTAGCGTATTCGCCTCGAGTGCGGAGGTCATTTGTTTGAACCCCAGCCAGGTCAAACGAAAGTCTTTAAAAATTGGACTGCTTCTCCGCTAAGCACGCGGTATTAAGAAGTAAGAGCAAAGACTGGTTGGCTCGGAGTCGGAATAATGTGTCCGGCTAAGGTGATTTGTCTTCCTGCGGACTGCTACTTTGTGAACTAGCACGTTAAACATTCGACTCAGCATATCGGTCTAGTACAAAGCAGGGTTAATATTCATATTAAATTAACATGTTCTCGTCCTGAATATGCATATTAATTTGCCGCTGGACGTTTAGCAGCCATCCATCATCATCTTCATCTTACACCGCTTTCTATCTGTTTTCAACGAAATTCTTCTGTCCACATTTAAAAACTTCATATTTCTTGACGAAACAAAAATGACAAAATGACGTTCCGTAGCATTAAGTAGAATCGAGAGATTGCCAGGACATCTGGCCCCATATGAAGAGATAGCATGCACTTTATTCTCATGGATTCATTAATAATCATGACCCTGATATCGAGATGACATGCTGGCCATTACTTCCCTTAATTCAAAAACTTACATTCTCCCAAGACAAACCCCGTATACAATTTTAATTTTTAAAATTCTATTCTATATTGATGATAATCTGTCACTCAATAACCATCACTTCAATAAGTGCTTACATCTTATATATCGCACAGAACTTGCGTTTAAGGATACTATCAAACCAAAAGTAGAAGGTCTGCTTCATATCTTGGTCGTTTCTTCGATTGACACAGATGGACGACTTCAAACTAAAATCTATGACAAACGTGACGTGATGATTTTAACACACAAATTGTCAACTTCCACTTTCTTAGCAGTTAAATACCATTTGCTGAATCGTATGGCGTTTACATATCCCAGTTAATAATTTACGCTTGTGCATGTGCATACGGACTTCTTTAACAACGGTGTACTTCTTACACAACAGCTGCTCAAACAGAGTTATGAGGAAAAACGACTGATATTGACGCTACACAGGTTTTGGACCGTGTTGGTGTCTCAACTCAATAACGACATGCTTTCGCAGTCTTAGTTCTTCAGATACATGTAAAGGAGTCTGATCTGTAAAGGAGTCTGATCTGTAAAGGAGTGAGATCTGTAGTTTTACCGATTGTGTCCTACTCCCGATTGTGACATTTTGAATAAGACTAAATATACATAGCGGCTGAAGCATGTATAGTAGGAGACGATTACCTTGTCGACGCACCCTTTTGGAGTTCATGTGATTTTGTCAGTTTTTGTTTTATTCCTTGATTTGCCTCATATTAATCGATTAACGAGATTTGAAAATCGGTTATCTACTATCGCCTTAATTTATATTACAATATTGATAAGAATCAAAAGATATAAAGTTGAAACAATATGTAAGTGTATAAAAATTGTCTACCAAAAAAACAAATTATTACTATTATATTGATTGCATTTCAGATTTGTTGATATGAATGATAAATAAATAAATAAAGCTTAATTTATGGTTCCACTTACTTAATTTTTGTTTGTAGTTATTATTCATCGTTATCGTTGTTATTGGTTAGTTTGCAGACAGCATTGGACAATATACAAACATTTAAAGCCTTTCTAGAAATTTGAAAAAAAAGTTACCATGAATATGTTAAATTAATTGGATATTGATAATAAAAAAACAAAAAATATATAATTCTGAAAATTTGATTCACTATCTTAAAAGAAGGAAATGGGCCTGGCTTCATTTCGTTAAATAACGCATATGATCAAGTAACTGGGTCAAACTATTGCGCAATTCAGTTTAGATAGGCTCCAATGTCAATAGCCTATTTTCCATTCCAACGTCCATATTATAGACTTGGATATGTACGATGGCTAGTTTCGATGCACATAAACAAATGCTAAGATGTTGTATGATTGCCAACGAGACAACTATCCACCAGACTTAACGTAGAAGTAAGTAATTATAGGCCACCATACAGCCTTAAACTATAAGAAACACCTTTACCGTATGGTCAGCTTATTTACAATAAAACAAATTACGAAAATCAAATATGACGGACATGCACTTACAACAACCACTGTACTACAGTCTCCTGACTTGAAACGGCCACATAAAGAATATGGCGGGGTTTAACATGTTTGTGAACGCCCAACCCTCCACAACATAAGAAAAATCTGTAAAATCCAGTTGTAATTGGCTTAACTAAAAAACTGGTAAAACAATTTCGGGATACGAAGTTTCTTTAAATTTTTCTCAAATTTGGAAATACCTAAAGACGTCCTCATTTGATGCAGCTTCAGCAAGTAAACAGTTCCTATTTTCACGTTTAAATTTCTAGACATTTAGTTTTTTACAAACAATCAATAACTCTAAGGTTTTACATCTTTCTTGTACTGTCATTTATAAAAAGAGAGCCGAAAGATACCAAAGGGTTATTCAAACTCATAATTCGAAAATAAAAAATGAAAACAACACGTTATAAATTTCATGCGTCCAAAGCGTTGTTCTGGAGTTACCTTCATCAGGAACGCTCAAAACGGAATATTTGAAATCCAGGGATGAATAAAACCGAAACAGTTGAGGAGGAGCTATATAACTAAAAAGGAACTAAAAATAGCCAAATCCATCTAAGGCCTACTTCACCTGACAAATTACCAAAACTAGAAGGTCGGTCTCATATCGTAATCTTTTCTTGATATTGACACAATTGGACGACTACAAATATGATGATTTCATCTTTTCAAAATATATACACTGTTTTAGAAAAAACAATCATAAACGGTCATTTAATAAAATCATATTGCTATTCTATAGTCTAATGGAAATTAAACGTCAGTGTCGCGAAACTTCGCAACGAACTGGTCATAAAAGATACCGATTCAGACGTCTATGTTGTATGCCTACGGGATCATTTGGATGTAGTTGTCCTGTAGTTTGCATATTTCAAGCACCATCTATTTGGTACTGCCTTTAAAACAACGATTCTTTTTTTATAAAAATATGAAGATGTGGTATGATTGCCAACGAGACAACTCTCAGCAAGAGACCAAAAGACACAGAATATTAACAATAATAGGTCACCGTACGGCCTTCAACAATGAGTAAAACCAATACCGCATAGTCAGCTATAAAAGACCCCCAAATGAAAAATGTAAAACAATTCAAACGAGCAAAGTAGCGGCCTATTTATGTACTAAATAATGAACGAAAAACAAATATGATATACAGCAACAATCGACAACCACTGAATTACAGGCTCCTGACTTGGGACAGACACATACATACTGTGGCGGGGTTAAACTAGTTTGAAAGCGCGCCAACCCTCCCCTAACCTAGGACAGTGGTGTAACAGTACAACATAAGACCAAACTTCATGTATGAAAATCAGTTGAAAAGGGCTTAACTCATCAGATCAATCGTAAGCAGAAATACATTTAACAAAAACACAGAGTATACGTGGCATGGAACTTATACATCCCGACAACAGAAAGACACTAAGTGCAGATCTGATCTATCATGATGTAATGAAAAAAAGTTCAACTGACTGAACTTCTGATGGACTCTGGCAACAGTTACAATACACTGGACTTTACGCAACCAACAATAAATCAATCAGTTACAATACATTGAAACTATCATTTATTTTCTTATGATC